CTCAGTCCTCACCAAACACAACACATTTCCCAACACATGTTTATTGTATGAGGGCTAGGTTTCGTGACGTTTATGCTCAGGTGTATTATATACTTGAACCTTATTCACCCCGTTATCCTCTCCGGTGCCCATGCTGTTCTGGTTTCTTGTCCCAAATAGTGTCTTTCCTACTTTCATAGAGTATGGTTCCTATTTTAAATTTAATTTCTTTTTATGTGAATGGATGTTTTGTCTGAATGTATGTCTGTGCACTACTCATATGTCTGGTTCAAACAGAGACCAGAGGAGGGCATCAGTTCCCCTGAAACTAAGCGTTACAGTGAGCTGCCATGTGAATGCTGGAGCTCTAGCCCAGGTCCTCTGGAAAAGCAGCTGGGGCTCCTAACGCTGAGCCATTTGCATATTCCCCACCCCCTTTTTTTTTCAAGACAGGATCTCACTGTGTAGCTCAGGCTGGCCTCAAAGTTTTAATGCTCCTCTTACCTCAGCCTCTCAAATACCGAGACAATAGGTGCACGCCACCACTGCCTGGCCTTCATCAGGCAGATTCGGGGTGCTGCAGAGCTGTGTCAAATTCATCTTTAAGTTCTCCCTTAGAATCCTCGGGTTGCCTTGTAGACATGGGTCGTTGACAGCAAGCTGGTACCACTGGTCTCCTGTTCTTGGTGGACACAGCACTTTTTCTTGCTTTTCTCATTTAAGTCATCACAATAAGCCCAGGTTGTTGAGAGCCTTGTCTTCATTTCTTACTTGGGACGGTAAGGATGAGTCGGGAGCCAGCCTAGGGCTTTGTCTGGACGCTGCATTTGCACCGAGTTTCCACCGAGCTCTGCTGTTTCTTGTTAAATGTGACTTTGGGGAAAGTGATAAGAATTAGAGAGGAACCAGGCGTTACGGAGCCTGCCAGCCAGCCATCTCCTGTCTCTGCTAGTGATTTTTAATGTCCTGCCTTGGGTAAGTTGGCGCTTGCAAGGCTGGGGACCTGGAGGAGATTTAGGCGGTGACGATGGCTGAGGGAGGCATGGCTGTGCGGGGAGGGAATGACAGTAATCCTGGCAGTGATGACACCGCACGGAACGCCACAGCAAACGTGCAGATGATGCTAAGTGGCCACCAAAGGGGTGTGATAAGGGTCTACGGAAATCTGAAGGATGATGACGGATGAACCTTTGGGGGAGTGATGGGGCCAAGGTGGGATTGTCAGCGGTCTCCACACCACCCTGGCCCTGACAGCACTTTGAGAGTCAAGCTCTCCAGAGACCGGAGTGCCAGTGGTCCTCATGCACAGGCTGGGCTTGACGTAGGCCTGGTCTGAGCATTCTGTCTGTGTCCTGCCATGGAGCGGACGTGGATCTGTCAGGCATGTGGTCAAGTCTCACAGTTTGGCATTTCGTGAGGTCCTGGTGTTATGGGTTTGTCTTTGTTACTTTCTGCGGCTGTGGTAAGTCATCATGACCAAGACAACTCATAAAAGGAAGGTTTCACTGGGCTCACAGTTCCAGAGGTTTAGAGTCCATGGCAGCAGAGTAAAAGCAGGGCGGCAGGTGACTGAGCAGCAGCTGGGAGCTCACATCTTTTTATGTATGTATGTATGTATTTATATTAATTTTTGTTCATTTGTTTTTGTGTGTATGCATCTGAATGCAGTTGCCAGTGGAGGTCAGAGACATGAGATCCCTTTGAAGCTGGAGCTAAAGGTGGTACTGGGAACTAAACTTAGGTCCTCTGGAAAAGAGGGAAGTTCTCTTAACCACTGAGCTTCTTTTCCAGCACCAGAGAGCTCATATCTTGACCCACAAAACAGGAAGCCGAGAGCACACTGAGTATGTTACCAGTCTTTTGAAACCTCCAAGTCTGCTCCCAGTGACACATTTCCATCACCAAGGTCACATCTCAAACAGATCTACCAACTGGGAACCAGCTATTTAAACAGAGGAGCCTCTAGGGGCCATTCTCGTTCAGCTACCAGGTTGAATTGTAATCTTCCTGCAAAGACATGAAGTCCCAACTCTGTCACTGTGTGTGTAACCTTATTTGAAAGTAGGGTCTTTATGGATATAATCGTGTAAAAATGAGGTCCCGAAGGTAGGCTTTTAGCCACCACAATTGGTGTCCTTCTAAGGACAAGGGACTGGAGGACTGAGGAGTTGGCCCAGTGCTAAGTGCTTTGTATGCAAGTGTGGGGACCTGAGTGTGGGTTCCTAGCACCCATGTGAAGAGCCAGGTGTGGCTACATATGACTGGGGCCCCAGCACTGGAGGCAGATCCCAGGAACTAGTTCACTAGACAGTCTGCGTAGCTGAAACAGCAAGGCACTGACTAACTCAGTAAGAAACCTCAACTCAAGACACTAACTCAGTAAGAAGCCTCAACTCAAGGCGATAAGGAAGAGCGTCTTAGTTATGGTTCCTGTTGCTGTGAAGAGACACCATGGCATGGCAACTTTTTTTTTTCTTTTTGCTTGTTTTTTTGTTTTTGTTTTTGTTTTTTTTTTTTTTGAGACAAGGTTTCTCCACCTTTAGAGCCTGTCCTGGAACTCTCTTTGTAGACCAGGCTGGCCTTGAACTCACAGAAACCCACCTGCCTCTGCTTGCCAAGTGCTGGGATTAAAAACGTGAGCCCACCACTGCCCAGCTACAGCAACTCTTACAAGGAAAACATTTAATTGAGGTGGCTTACATTTAGAGGTTCAGTCCACTATCACCATGGTCAGACATGGCATCATACCGGCAGGCATGGTGCTGGAGAGGTAGCTGAGAGCTCTATCCCTTGCACAGGCAACAGGAAGGAAGTGATTGGTCTACTGGGCATGGCTTGAGCATATATGAGACCTCAAAGCCTGCCTCCGCAGTGACACACTTCCTCCAACAAGACCATACCTACTCCAACAAGGCCGTACTTCCTAATAGTCCCCTTTGTGAACCATTTTATTTCAAACCACCATAGAGAGCAATAAAAGCATGTCTTATTTTGGCCTCTTCATGTACACACATAGGTGCACCAGCCTACACACACGTATGCACCAGGCACACATATAACACACACATACACACACACACACACACACACACACGAGAATGCCGAATGCCATACAGCAACAGAGAAAATAAACACTGCAAGGCAATGGTTATCGACTACTGGTGGCTTTAGCAGAAACTAAAAGAGACAGGGGTCTTTCCTACAGGCTCAGGGGAAGAGTCTTAGTCCCTTCAAGCTGCTGTAACAAAAGAGCAAGATAGGAGATTTATGAACAACTGAACTGATTCCTTAGTTTGGAGACCAGGAAGTACCAGCAGCTTCCATGTCTCATGAAGTCAAGCACCTCTCTGATGGAGGAAGGAGACAACAAGCTCCCTCGGACCTCTTCTACAAGGTCACTAGTCACCTCCCAAAGACCCATTCTTAGTACCACTACCCTACCAATAGCTTTCATTGTGTGAACTTGGGGTTGGAAGGGGAGAGGGTTTAGACCGGGTTTCCAAATTCAGCCTAAGATGGCTTCAAACTGTTGTGGGGTTTTTTTTTTTGTTTGTTTGTTTGTTTGTTATTATTGAGACAGGGTCTCAAACTCACTATGTAGCCCTGGCCCATGTGGAACTCTCTATATAGTTCAGGCTGACCCCAAACTAAGAGATCTGCCTGTCTCTGCCTTCCAAGTGCTAGGATTAAAGGTGGATCCCAAGTGATCGGACTATGGACGTACATCACCTAGCCCTTCTGTGATGCCTCCTCCACAGACAGCCTCAGCCGCCAGTGAACATTTCTAGCCTTCAGCGCGATCATTTTATGACTTCATTTGTGTGAATGTCTTATATCCTAGTCTCTCTTCTCCACTGAGCTTTCTTCCTTGCTCCCTGCACCTCTACCTGCTTCTTGTGCTTTCTATTCTTAAGCAAAGGAGAAGACAGTCCGGTTTTCTAACGTGCCACCAGGGGGCGCTGCCCGCGGGGGCCACTGGAGCTTCTCATTCAGTTTAGGCAGAACTGGAGAAGCGAGCTGATCGATTTTCAGCCTCAGTTAACTCTGGCTGGCTCTTGAAAGTAACCCAAACTCAGGAAAACGTTCCTATTCGAAGGCAGACACCAATTTTCCACACTAGCCAGGAGAATCTCGGTATTAAAAGGTTTCTGAAGCTTTCTCACAAGAAGACACGAAGAACACAAATGATAGGATTTTCATGGGAAAGTCTGTCATCTGGAGGCTCGCTGTGTAGAAGCCACACAGACCCAGACTGCAGTCCACACTTTCTAATTGGGTGGCGTTAGCTCAGCTCCTCTGAAACTAGTTTGGCAAGGACAACCGTTCCTACTCAGCAAGACTTTGCTCGGGGTTACAGTTCACTGTACTGGGAGATGTTCCAGAAGCCTCTTTCCGACTAGGGATAGTTCAAGGCTATCCCTGGGGTCCTTAGAATCAAGAATGGGGACTGCTTTACGGGCCTCTCAGGGTTTTTCAGCTACTCTTTGCTCTCCTCCAAATTAGCCTCCCTTTGACTGCAAGTGGAGCGGACTCCTTTCTAGCAGCAGGAGGTGTGAAGGTCAGGCCAGCCCCTGCGCACCCCACTTAGGCCCCAGAGTTAATCAGTAGCAGTTCCTGACAGCTCAGCCCACCGGCAGCATCTTCCAGGCATAGGATTCCGGGGTGGGGCGAAGCCCCTTCAGGTCACACGCCCCGCGCAAAGGGTGCTCGGAGAGGACCTTCCAGGAGCGACCCCGGATCCTAGAGGTGAGGTTGGCTATAAGAAGGGGTAGCCGGAGTGGGTGGGTGGGGGAAGCTTTGTGTCCCGGTGTGTCCTCGGGTCACAAAGTCCTCCCCATTCCCGTAAGGTCACCGCTTCCAAGCCGGGGTCTGTACGTGCCAGCCAACCAGACGCTGGGGCGGGGCAGGGGGGGGGGAGAAGGGATGCCCCGCTGAACCCTCAGGGTCCTTCCCTCCCAGGCCTGGCCCCACTGAGCACCCGGACCCGCGGGCATCCGAGGCACGGCGACCCGGAAGGCCGGCGGAGCCGGAAGGAGGGAGGGCGGAGCCAGGGCGGCCGTGGCCTGTGAGCGCCTCGCTGGCGCTGGCAGAGCGGAGCCGGCTGCTTGCGGAGCGGTGCTCTGTGTTCCCGCGGTCCTAGACGCCAGCACGGTAAAGGTGCGTGCGGGGAAGCCAGAGTCTGCGGAGCCGGTCGGGGACCCCACGGTGTTGGGCACACTGCTGATCATCTTCACGCAAAGGAACCGAGGCACGGACAGGCCTAAGCTGCAGCGCCGAGGTTGGAGTCGGGGCCAGCTCCGAGTGCAGCCCGCTTCAGCCCGGGTGTGCGGGAGTGCGCGTGCGTGCTGCGGTGGCTCCCACAGCCTACCCCTGGCTCCTTATGGGAGGGGACGTGGCACTGATTTAGAGATGGTCAGGAAAGATGTCAGGGGTGCAGAAAGCCTAATGATTAGTTGGAGTTGTGGTTGAGAAGCGCTCTATGAGTAAGTAAGTAGATAAGGTGCCCGTAGGCAGAGGGGAAGGCCCGAGAAGGGTGCAAGAGTGCCTGGTGTCAGCCCCTGGCCAGCCCAGTCTGCGAGCTGTGTAGTGAACCTACCACTGACGCCTTCTGGTCTTTCAAGAGAAGTCAGGAAAATCTAAATTGTAAGATATTATTGGCCTTATTTTGAGAAAGGGTCTCACTATATAATCCAACCTGGTCTTGAACTGTCTGTCCTCCTACCATAGCCTCCCCAGGTCTGGGGTTACAGGCCAGCACGTCCTCGACGTCCTCTTGTTTTTAAATACCAAGAGCCAAGTAATTAAAAGACAACTTTGTGTGGTGGAATAATGGGACGATGAACTTTATAGAGGCCAGATTTCAGCTTGGAGTTTGTAAATTCCGGAAAGGAGAGCAAGGGCCAGTTCTCCACACTCTTTCTGTTCTGTTTCTCCACCAACACACACTTCCTCCTTCCACACTGGGGATTGGAACCCCAGCTTTGCCCAACATTGCTGTAAAGGACATGGAGGTCCCGTTAGCTCTAGAGCCTCCTCCGTTGTCTCTCATAACTTGACTGAAGTCAGCTGAGGCTGCTGTCCAAAGGCTTGGCTTTTCCCCTGCTCTGTGTATGCTCCAGAGTCCAGCTGTCATCTTCCCGCTAGTCTGGATGACTGTAAATCATCAGGGCTCAGTTAGCATCTGTCTTCCCTGTGGCCCGCAGGTGGATCAATCAGAACCTGTTTTGAGGACAGCATTATTGAAATGGTTGTACTATGGTGGGGAGACCCTGTCTTCTGTGTCCTCAACTCTCCCGGTCACTGACGGACATGGGTGGCCCTGGGCCGGGAGGAGGAGAAACAGGGGATGTTTCCTTTCAATCTAGTGAGTCTGAAGAAGGCAGGAAATGAAAGGGTTTCCCAGGGACTCAGGAGCTGGGGTGGCAAACTTCCACAACATAAGCCTGTTGCTCATGTAACTTCTGAAATTATTCTTCAAGAAATTTAAACCTGCCTTGCCTTGCCTTGCCTTGCCGACTGCAGACGCCCAGCTGAAGTGGAGCTGCCCTTGCCCAGCTCCCCTGCTCCCTGGCACCTGCTAAAGAGCCTGGCTTGTCCTCTTGCACTGACTTAGGTGAAGATTTAGGAATGGCATGGGCATGTTGGTGCCTTCTCTGCTCCACTTAAAATTATCCAGGGCAGGTTTGGGGCTAATCGCGGGTGAAATGCATAGGAACACGAGCCCACTCCCTATCTCCACAGTTTTACCTTCTGTAGCTTCATCTAGCTGCAGCCAAATAGTAAGTGAAATTTAAGTGAGTTTTTTAAATCACAGGTTTTCTGAGTAGTTAGAAATTTCATCCTAAGTCGTGTGATGCAGTCTCATGCCATCCTGCGCCATTCTGCCGGAGATCTGAATCTTCCCTTTGTCCTATGTATCCACAGGGTTTACCCTACCCGCCTGCTAGTCACTCGGTAGCGCTCAGCTGTCATGTTGTGGGTGCCCAGTGCTTGTGCCAGTGACCTCATTTTGTGGACTAGACTCCAAGGCTCGAGAGTTACAGTGCAAAGGATCCAGGACATAAAAGCTGTCAGGACAGATTAATCAAGCTTTTGGACATCTACTGGAGTCTCAGATGTATTCTTTATGGATGGGGGGAGGGGAGCTACCATATGCATCTCTGTCCTGCCTCTTCCACGTGCATTGTCTTGTTATGCGAAACCCATTCTGAGAGTGCAGATTCATTATTCTGCCGAGAGTTGATATGTGGAGTGCTATCTGCGTGCTGGTGCTTCAGGACCAGAAGGGCACAGGCCTTCTGCTTCTGGGCATGGGGGATGTCCTGCCATCTTCTGAGACCTGGGCTGAACCCGACTTTTTCCAGTGTAACCGACAGATTAAACAAAAAGCTGGATCTGCACCAAAGCTAATCAGGATGGGAATGGGGGATGTTAGTCTTTTGAAAGGAAGGCATTCATCTAAAGTTTATCAAAATTGAGGAAGGAAACAGAGACAATGGGTAGTGCAGACCAGTAATACCAGGGCTCAGGAAGCCAATGCAGAAGGCCATCATGGAGTTTCAGACCAGCCTGGGTTACACAGCAAGGAAAGAAGTCTCAGAAGGGTGAGGGTGAGCAAAAGGACCATTTCAAGGAGCTGGAACATAGCATCCTTCTTCCTTCTGGGAAGCCTTTGTGTCAGGGTGAGGATGAGCAAAAGGACCATTTCAAGGAGCTGGAACATAGCATCCTTCTTCCTTCTGGGAAGCCTTTGTGTCAGGGTGGTGACTCCATGGGTTCCTTACAGAACTCAGAACTCCTAGAGCCAAGAGGACGGTTTTACATTGAGGGATTCTGATTCTGCATAACTCTTGGGCACGGAGAGAAACCAGCTAACCGACCAAAGCCTAGTATAACCCAAGCTGTAGTCCTGGAACTCCCTCAGCAAGGTCCCTTAGCTTACTGACATGTCTGTCCCTCAGCCTCACAGGAGCAGGAAGTGTCAGTCCTGCTACTTTCTCTCCCCAGCCTTACGAAGTGGTCTGTCAGTGTGTGGGCTCTCCTTATCCACCAGTCCCTCTGTGGGGCACAGTGCCTCTCACCTATGGCTTCGCCTCTGCCTGTCACTTCCCAGCAGCATGGCAATGTGTCCTGGTCCTCACAAATTGCCTACGGTCATTATTAATAAGGGCTCTCTGTCGTTTCATCTGTTCTGCAAGCCCCTGGAAGTCCCATGTTTTGAGTGCAGGCAAGCCTTGATCTCACTGTGTAGCCCAGACTGGCCTCAGACTCATCTTCATCTTTCTTTGACTTCCCAAGTGCTGGAATTGTAGCTATGAGCCACCATGAAATCTGATTTATTTTGTTTTGTGATGGCTTCATCTTGCTAATTCACCTTGTTCCTGGTTTTTTCTTTATCATTAATTAATTATAATATGATTATAATAATATTTAATGTATAATATAGACTTTAATAATAATTATTAATTAGTCATTATTATTTTCTTTTTAATAGAAAATCTAGCTATCCACTCGGGAGGCAGAGGCAGGCGGATCTCTCTGAGTTCGAGGCCAGGCTGGTCTACAAGAGCTAATTCCAGGACAGGAACCAAAAGCTATGGAGAAACCAAAAAAAAAAGAAAATCTAGCTATCTAATCCAGGCTGGCCGTGGGTTCGCAACCCCCTGCTTTAGCTTCCCAAGGTCCGAGAGGACAGTCTGTGCTGCCCTACCCAGCTCTTGTCTTAGCATGTGGCATCCCAACAGTGCCCTTGGCTCTCCTCAGTCACTCTGCATCCCTTCTATGTACCCTTACAAGGGTCCATCCTTGTTTCTTCACTGGGGCTCAGACTCAGAGCATTTTTTTGTGTCTGCCGTAAAGATCTGCATTTTCAGCCCCATTTGAGCTTCATCTTAAAAGCAGAGTATCTGACTCCTGGCCCTGGGTTATGTAGCAGCCAGCACGGCCTCAGAGGCTTGTCCTTTTCCCCTTTTCTGACTTGGCTCAGATACCTCGCCACACGCGAGGGGCCATATGGCTGGGAATTCGCTGTCCCTGCCAGACTTTCTATGTTGAAGGTTGCGGGGCCACTTGATGAACGGCTGCTGGCGTGAGAGAGGTCAGGCTTAGCTCGCTAGGGGACTGGTAAAGCCTGTGGCCGAGGCGCTTCCTCGTTTGTCCGGAGTCTAAAGCTAACCAGAGGGCACAGCAGACCTTTCATCCACTTCGCTGCTCCCATTTGCTTGTTAGCGGATGCCCAGCTTCTTGGCGACGGAACCACACAGGGCTGTGTGCCCGTCTGACATGCACACGGCCAAGCAACTCTTCTTTCCGGAAGGTGGGCGCTCTTCCTGAGATGCTAGAAACTGATACATTTGGGTCAAAATGCTCATAAGCTCATTAAAACTTTCCTTTTCCACCACAGGGTACTGGGGTACTCTCCTGTTATCCCTGGGGCAAAAGTCTCAGGCAAAAGGATTATGGTGAGGCCTGTGTAGCAAGACCTTATCTCAAAATAAATAATTAAACAGATTAGTCCAGAGTAAGTAGCAAGGAAGGCCTTATCTCAAAAATAAACAAAAGTAAAACAATTAACTGGAGAGAAGATTTAGAGGTTAAGAGCACTGGTTGTTCAGGACCCCTGTTGATTACCAGCGCCCATATGGTATCTCACAGATGTCTGTCGCTCCTGTTCCAGGGGATCACTGGCCTCCAAGGGCACTGCACGCATGTGGTACACAGACATGCATGCAGCAGAACACCTGCTTGCTTGCTTGCTTGCTTCCTTCCTTCCTTCCATCCTTTCTTTCTTTCTTTCTTTTTTGAGACAGGGTTTCTCTGGAGTTTTTGGTGCCTGTCCTGGAACTAGCTCTTGTAGACCAGGCTGACCTCGAACTCACGGAGATCCACCTGCCTCTGCCTCCTGAGTGCTGGGATTAAAGGTGTGCGCCACCACTGCCCAGCTTCACTTTCTTTTTAAGTACACATTTGGGCAAACATTGAAACCACCTATCTCGTTGAATCTTCCTTTAAGGTCTGCCGAGATGCCCATCCAGGTAGATGACATCATGAAGCTCCTGTGTTCCATTTCCCACGAGAGAAAAATGAAGGCGGCCGTCAAGCACTCTGGGAGGGGTGCCTTGGTTGCGGGGACAGTGGCCTTTGTCGGTGGTTTGGTTGGTGGCCCGCCAGGAATTGCTTTTGGTGAGTGTGTCTTCACAGGTACAGCCAGCCTTGATTCAGGCCTGTAATCTCTGTCCCTGGGGAGGCAGGAACATGGAGAGTTCAAGGATAGCCTGGGCTACATAGTATGTTCCAGACTTCTGGCATGCTTGAGGGTTTTGGAACTATATGGAAGAATGATCTGATCAATAAGAACGGTACCTACCACATACACTGTGCAGGGATTCCATAAGGCCAGGGCTTCTGTATGTCGTGTGTCCTCACAGCTTCCCTGTGATGCAGGATTCTCTTGGCCTTAGCGTTTGCATCTGTCAGGACTGGAAGGCACCGCCAGGAACCCACTGGCTCTGCCCTTTGCCTAGAGATGTGTCCTTGAGTCTAAAGGTACTGGAGTGCCTGGGACCTCCGGATGTCCCCTGTGTACATCATTGCTACCATGTTACCTTAGAAGGGAGCCACAGAAACTACATCTGCCAAGTTCCTTCCATGATCAGGTGCTCATAGCCTGGCCGTGTCTTAGTTTGCTTTCTGTTGCTGTGAGGAAACACCATGACTTAAAGCAACTTGGAGAGGGGCAGGTTTATTACAGCTTCCAGTCCATTATGAAGAAAAGTCAGGGTGAAAACTCGAGGCAGGAACTGAAGCAAAAGCCATGGAACGCTGCTCTGCTTGCTTCCTTCTGGGATGGCTACCATGAATGGTTCAATACAGTTTAGCTGGCATCCCCACCGCAGCGGGACGCCTGCCGTGTGCAGCAGGGTGGTTCTTTTTTTTTTTTTTTGTTTTTGTTTTTTGTTTTTCGAGACAGGGTTTCTCTGTAGCTTTGGAGCCTGTCCTGGAACTCCCTTTGTAGACCAGGCTGGTCTCGAACTCACAGAGATCCACCTGCCTCTGCCTCCCCAGTGCTGGGATTACAGGCGTGCGCCACCACCGCCCGGCTGGGTGGTTCTTTACTGATTGCTGCAGTATGTACTGTGGTGGGGTCAGGCACAGTCCTTCCTTGACCCCCGTCCTCCAGACGCTATTGCTCGGTGATTTTCAGGCCTTACATTGTGACAGGCTGTGCAGACGGAAACTCTTTAGCGCTGGGGCTGGTTTCTGGTTTCTGTTTCCCAGCTTGTTGACAAGTGTGTCTGTCTGTCTGTCTGTCTGTCTGTCGTCCCCCCCACCCCCGCCACCATACAGAACATTGCATTGTATGAAAGTTACGTTTCATAGAAACAGATGGCTCAGATCTTTATCTTTTGTGATTTCAAATTCTGTGAATTCAGGAGTCCCAACTTCAGCTTCTTCTCACTAAAGAAGACAAGCCCATTTCTTGTTTCCCCAGTGACACCCTCACATTCCCACTCCTGTCTCAGTAATAGCCTGATTGAGGCTGTTTTTATCATAGAGCCGTGCGCTGTCTCTGTTGTGGGAGCCCATATTTATTCCTGTTGAGTAAAGAAGGCAGAGAGTAGCTCTAGGGACTCTCTTCTTCTGGTCCCTGGTCACGGGTGGGGGCTTCACTGCTTCTGGTCCCTGGTCATGGGTGGGTGTTTCATTCCCCCTGAAAAACACAGGAATTGTCCTTTCTCCAGAGGCCTGCTAGCCATGTGTGCATGGATGTCCTGATAACCTCCGCATTAAGTGCTGCTGTAAATCAGATATTGATGTTCTGTAAGAGTTAATGCTGATGCAGGTGGTACTGTTAGCTCTAGATGCTCACGGTGTCAGGAGGAAGAGTCCAGACGAACTTGTGAATGGACTGGTTTTCCTTCCCTGGAATGCCTCTTTCTTCTAGAGACTGGCTGCCCCAGTATTGGGCACCAGAGGGGCTGTCTGCCTCCAGGGCCACACTGCTTGGATTCAGAAAATGTGGGTGCCACTCTCTGTCTTCTGGGCCCAGCCTACAAGTGGGTTCTCACCAAGCTGTGCTGCTTGTTTACTTAATTAAATATTTATAAAGTGTTTTATTTATTTTTATTTTATGTGTATGGAGGTTTTGCCTGACGATTATGTCCATGCACTGTATGCATGCAATATCCATAGAGGGCATCAGCATCTTTGAAACTGGAGTTAAGGACGGTTGTGAGCCACCCTGTGGATGTTGGAAATCAAACATCAGTCCTCAGCAAGAGCAGCCAGTACTCTGCTCTTAACCACTGAGCCAACTCTCCAGTCCCACGCACTTTTTTTGAGCAATGATCTCTCTATGTACCTCGGGCTGGTCTGAAATGATTGATGTATTCCAGATTCGACCTCAAACACGAGATCCTCATGCCTCAGCCTTCAGAGTGCTGGAATTGCAGTCATGGTGTCCCCAGTATTAAACAAATGTCTCATTTTGGAATAATATTATATACGTGTAGGAGTTGCAAAGATTGTACAGAAAATTCCCATGTGAGCGATCCCATTGAAATCAGGAACAAGACAAGGTTGTCCACTCTCTCCATATCTATTCAGTATAGTTCTTGAGGTCCTAGGTAGAGCAATAAGACGCCAAAAGGAGATCAAGGGGATACAAATTGGAAAAGAAGAAGTCAAACTTTCACTATTTGCTGATAATATGATAGTTTACATAAGCGACCCCAAAAATTCTACCCAACTCATAGACACTTTCAGTAATGTAGCAGGATACAAGATTAACTCAAAAAAATCAGTAGCCCTCCTGTACACAGATGATAAATGGGCTGAGAAAGAAATCAGAGAAACATCACCCTTTACAATAGCCACAAATAGCATAAAATATCTCAGAGTAACTAACCAAACAAGTGGAAGACTTGTATGACAAGAACTTTAAATCTTTGAAGAAGACACCAGAAAGTGGAAAGATCTCCCATGCTCTTGGGTAGGTAGAATTAACATAGTAAAAATGGCAATCTTACCAAAAACAATCTACAGATTCAATGCAATGCCCATCAAAATCCCAGCAAAATTCTTCACAGACCTTGAAAGAACGGTACTCAGTTTCTTATGGAAAAGCAAAAAACACAGGATAGCCAAAACAATCCTGCACAATAAAAGAACTTCTGGAGGCCTCATGATCCCTGACTTCAAACTCTATTACAGAGCTACAGTACTGAAAACAATATTTTTTTTTTTTTGAGACAGGGTTTCTCTGTAGCTTTGGTGCCTGTCCTGGAACTAGCTCTTGTAGACCAGGCTGGCCTCGAACTCACAGAGATCCGCCTGCCTCTGCCTCCCGAGTGCTGGGATTAAAGGCGTGCGCCACCACCGCCCGGCTGAAAACAATATTTTTTGCTTCTTTATCAGTACTGAAAACAGCCTGGTACTGGCATAAAAACAGACAGGAGGACCAATGGAACCAAATGGAAGACCCAGATATTAATCCACACACTTTTGAATATCTGATTTTTGATAAAGAAGCAAAAAATATCAAACAGAAAAAAGAAAGCATATTTAACAAGTGGTGCTAGCATAACTGGATATCAACATGTAGAAGAATGAAAATAGATCCATACCTATCACCATGCACAAAACTCAAGTCCAAATGGTCAAAGACCTCAATATAAAGGCAGCCACACTGAACCTCATAGAAGAGAAAGTGGAAAGCACACTTGAACGCATTGGCACAGGAATCCACTTCCTAAATAGAACCCCAGCAGCACAGACATTGAAAGAAACAATTAATAAATGGGACCTCCTGAAACTGAAAAGCTTCTGTAAAGCAAAGGACACGGTCAACAAGACAAAACGACAGCCTACAGAATGAGAAAAGATCTTTACTAACCCCACATCAAACAGAGGTCTGATCTCCAAAATATACAAAGAACTCAAGAAATTTGACACCAAAAGATCACATAATCCAATAAAAAAAAATGGAGTACAGACCTAAACAGAGAACTCTCAACAGAAGAATCTAAAATGGCTGAAAGACACTTAAGGAAATGTTCAACATCCTCAGCCATCAGAGAAATGCAAATCAAAACAACTCTGAGATTCTGTCTTACACCTGTAAGAATGGCCAAGATCAAAAACACTGATTACAACTTATGCTGGAGAGGTTGTGGGGTAAAGGGAACACTTCTGCACTGCTGGTGGGAGTGCAAGCTGGTACAACCCCTTTGGATGTCAGTGTGGCGATTTCTCAGAAAATTAGGAAACAACCTTCCTCAAGACCCAGTAATACCACTTTTGGGTATATATCCAAAGGATGCTCAATCATGCCACAAGGATATGTGCTCAGCTATGTTCATAGCAGCTTTGTTTGTCATAGCCAGAACCTGGAAACAACCTAAATGCCCCTCGACCAAAGAATGGATAAGGAAAATGTAGTACATTTACACAACGGAGTACTACACAACAGACAAAATAACAAGGGAGCATCTTGGAGGTGACGTGCCTTCTTTGTCAGTCCAGGGGTATATGACATCCTGTGGTGTTGTGTTACGTGCGGCAGGGCTGCGTCCCTGGCATGCGGCCGCCCGCATGGCTAGCTTTACCCGAAATAATTATACAGAAACTGTATTCTTTTAAACATTGCCTGACCCATTAGTTTCAGTTTCTTATTGGCTAGCTTTTACATATTGATCTAACCCATTTCTATTAATCTGTGTAGCCCACGAGCTGGCTTACCAGGAATGATCTTAACCTGCGTCTGTCTGGAGTGGGAGAACCATAGCGACTCCCTGACTCAGCTTCTTTCTCCCAGCATTCAGTTCTGTTTACTCCGCCTACCTAAGGGCTGGCCTATCAAATGGGTCTAGGCAGTTTCTTTATTAATAAGAAATCACTCCCACACTGTGGCATCTCCAGTGAGACTGGCTTGGTAGTTTAGGGAAGGAGTGGCACCAAGCAGCTTGGTCAGGGTCATGCGTGCTGGGTTTTCCACTCCAAAGTTTCTGTTTCTCATCCCATATTCTGCTGCTTAGGACTCACTAGTCCAGCCAGGCTGCCTCTGTGTTTGTCTGATGGCTGCTAATCCAGTGTATGGAAAGCTTCAGAGGTGCAGACCAGTGGCAGCCATTGGCTGGCACACAATAGTAGGTGTTCCTTCAGGCGGGAACCTGGCCACCACAGACCCCTCTGCCCTCTTTACCACTTTACATTTTGAGAAAGAATCTCACTATTTAGTCCTGGCTGTGTTGGAACTGAACTATGTAGACCAGACTGGCGTCAGACTCTCTGAGTGCCGCCTGCCTCTGCCTCTCAAGTGCTGGGATTAAAGGTGTGTGCCACTAAACCCAATGTTCTCTTCATCCCTTTGGAGCACTTGCCTGACCCTTGAAGGTTTGTTTGTTTTGGGTTTTTAAGACAGGGTTTCTCTGTGTAGCTTTGGAGCCTGGCCTGGAACTCACTCTATAGACCAGGCTAGCCTCAAACTCACAGCGATCGGCCTGCCTCTGTCTTCCAAGTGCTGGGATTAAAGACGTGTGCCATCACTGCCTGGCTAGGTGCTTTAGTTTGATACCTTTGCTCCTAGAGCACCTTCCTCCACCTTGTGTCATGTGACAAATGGCCTGGTGATGTAGAATTTTCCATCCTACGAGATCTTCAGGTTCCATAACAGCATGGCTTAACTTTGGCCAGAAAGTTACATTTAAAAACAAACAATATTTCTAAACTGGGTGTGATGGTACACAAGTTCCAGGACAGTCGGGGCTACACAGAGATCCTGTCTTGAAAAAAAATAATAAAAAATAAGAAATAAAACAATGCTTCTAGCTGAGGATGTCTCTCAGTGGTAAGAGTGCTTAGCTGGAGCTCTTGAGCCATCCTCCCGACCTCATCCTGCAGTGCCAAGAACCTGGAAACAAATGAAGGCAGAAATATAAAAAGAATGATTCTAGCTGGGCTTGACGGCTGACACACACTTGTGATTCCCAGTGGGGATGCTGAGGCAGGGGAAGCAAGAGCTCTAGGTCACCCCAGGGTATACAATAAGACTTGGTCTCCAAAAAACAAAAGAAAGAGAAAATAAAAGCGTATTCACTTTTAGAAAGAGACATAGTTTACACACACACACACACACACACACACACACACACGGGATGGAATGAAAGACAGTCTTCAAGAGAAACACTTGATTTGCCCCTGGGTCATTTCCCATGTGAGTTCTCTGGTAATTTCCAGAGCTCAGGGCACGTTTCCGCTGAGTTTATATTGACTTGACACAAGCCTGGGTAATTTTGGAAGGGGAAACCGCAATTGGGAAAATACCTCCACTAGACCAGCCTGTGGTCTCATTGTGGACTGTGCTATGCCTGAGCTGGTGGGCTCTGGGCACCCCTTCATGGCCTCTGCATCAGCTTCTCTTCAGGTTCCTGCCTTAGGTTAATTCCCTCCCGCCCTGACTTCCCTCAGTGATGGAATGTGATCTGAAGTTGTAAGATGAAATGAACCCTTTCCTCCCAGTTGCGGATTGTCCTGGTGTTTTATCACACCGTGGAAACCGCGTAACCTCCCAGCCTCTCCAGGCAAGTGGTTGCTCAGAAGGTGCAGTTTCCTCTCAGCCCCTCCTTTATGGACACAGATTGTTCTGGGAGTCACAGGAGTGGGAAAGTTCAGTCAGGAAGGGGATCTGACTTAGTTGGCACAGGTCAGAGGTGGGGAGGGTGTAAGTGGGGGACATAGGGAGGGCCTTCCTTCGATGCCAATTACCGGGGCCACAGGGACTGGAAACGGCATAAACCTTTGCCCTGTTGACTACCTGGCAGAAGCTGAGCTTGCTGTGACCTGCTCATGAATGTGCCCACTTGTCATGACAGTGGCTACATTCTCGGCAAGACACCAAGGCCATTGTTGGAGGATGCGACTGACTAATTGAGCCCTTTATTGTTTTCCAGGGGGTGCTGTTGGGGGCCTGTTGGGGGCCTGGATGACGAGTGGACAGTATAAGCCAGTTCCTCAGATCTTAATGGAGCTGCCCCCTGCCGAACAGCAGAAACTCGTTAATGAAGCCGCGGCCATCATCAGGAACTTGGACTGGACAGATGCTATACAGCTCACTGCTCTGGTCATGAGCAACCAGGCCATGCAGCAGAAGCTCTTGGCCATGCTAGCCACCTATGTCACCAAGGAGCTACAGGCCGATATCCGCTATGATGACTAGGTCACTCTCCCTGGGGGATGGGCTTGCATTTGGATGATTCCACGACTCCCAGAAGGCGACCTGGGAATGGGGGGTGCCTGGCAGGTGCGTTGAGAAACCTGCACGCTATCAGTATTGACTATAAGCTGGAGTACATCCTGTTGGACTGTCCTCTGCTGGAGTACATCCTGTTGGACCATCCTTCGCTGGAGAGGCTTCAGCTGTGCATGGTGGGCTGTGTGTGCTATGGGAAGGTCCGGGCTGTTGGCATCCACAGACAGTTTAGAAGTCCTCCTGATCCTGTGGGTCTAAAAGGAGTTCTCAGGTTGGCTGGCCAACTGTGCCGGGTGCCCCTCTTCCTTTGAAAGTACCTCTAGGTATCTGTGACAGGATCAGAGGGTCCTGGGGGGTTCAGAGCCAGCTCTTGACAGGATGTGCTTACTTGTTGAGTGTTCCCCTTCTTTGCCCAGGGTCTCACGATGACAGTGGTCCCTACTTTGAGTGAAGCCACAAATGCCAGGCAGTCCCCAGACTCTATGTCCCAGGCTCTCTTAAGTAACTTTGGTTAAACTTCTAAAGTCTTTTACCTTATTATGGAAAATCATGGCACTTATTTATCTTTTACTTTTTTTTGTTTGTTTTTTGAGACAGGGTTTCTCTGTAGCTTTGGAGCTTGTCCTGGAACTAGCTCTTGTAGCCCAGGCTGGCCTTGAACTCACAGAGATACCCCTGCTTCTGCCTCCCGAGAGCTGGGATTAAAGGTGTGCGCCACCACCATCCAGATCTTATTTATCTTTTACTTTTATTGTCAATTCTGGACCCTTTTATTCTCTACGCTTGTAGTCTAAGTTAATTTCACTCTAATTTTTTTTCTTACTGTGTTGCCTGGACTGGCCTTGAATTCCTGGGACTGTAGGCTGTGCCACCGTACCCAGCTTTACCTCAGAGACTGTTCTTTTCGCCACTGTATCTAAGTTTGTTCTTCCAGGTTCTCTATCCCAGCTCAGTTTTCTCCCCTCACTGGCTGCAATTTACAACTCACTTGTGTGGAAAGGCAAAATTAACAATGAATCGAGTTCAAAGATCCTAACTGAGCTGGGTGCTGTGGTGCACACCCACGGTCCCAAGTAAGGGAAAGGTCAAAGCAGGAACATCCTTGAGCCCAGGATTCAAGACCAACCTGGACAACATGGAGGAACTGGGAGATAGAAGGTGGGGACATAGCTCCTTGCTTAGCTTTTATTTACAGCCACAGAATCAAGACGCAGTGAGTGTTCTGATGTGCTCGACAGGAGACGAAGGGCAAACACAGACAATACCAGCACTGAGGTTAACCCCTGGGCAGCACCTTATCGCTCTGGTTAAAACCAGGGATTTGGCCATCCTCTCCTTGATTTCCCCAAGTGACAACAGCTCAAACCTGACAAGCAGCTTGTTTGGTATTCGTTTTTCTTGTGATGCTGCGGATGGAGCACGGGGCCTGCATACTCTAGGTAAATACCACCCCTGAGCCCTGCTCCCTGCTCTCCCTTGCTAGATCCAAGGCCAGTGCTGTATGGGTAAGCCTGCTCCCAGCCCTTGAGTGGCTCAGTTTCGGTTTGGCCAGTTGGTTCCAGTGCTCAACGGATGACATCATATACATTTGATTAAACATTTGAAACTTCTTTTTTTTCCCCCGTCAAAGATGGGCACTCAGGGAGCGCAGGAGCTATGTGTCTTGTCATCTTGTCACACCCTACCCATCTCCAGCTTGCTCCTGCTTGGCACCGTGGCTTTTATGTGGGGACACTCAATGAATATTCATCTTTAATGCTATGTGCTTTAGGTCTTTCTGGATTTTTGTTTGTTTATGTTTTGTCTGCATTTATGTAAACATAGTATGTATGTGTGTGATTCCCACAGAGGCCAGAAGGGGGCACTGGACCTCCTAGAACTGGAGTTACTGACAGTGTAAACTGTCATGTGGGAGTTGGGAACCGAACCCAGGCCCTCTGCAAGATCATTAATGGCTAAACCGGCTCCCTACCTCTAGGTGTTGTTTTTTTTCAAAACAGGGTTTCTCTGTGCGGTTCTGCTTGGTTTCAAACTCATGATCCTCCTGCCCCAGCCTTTTGAGCCATGAAATTACAGGCAGGCATCACCAAGCTAAGATCTATAATATTTTGTTGTTGTTGAAGTCTTTAAATTCTCATTGTTTTTTTTTTTTTCATTATTTTGGGACAGGATCCCATGTAGCCCAGGCTGGTCCCCAGTTCTCTGTAAAACCAAAGATGGCCTTGAACTCTTGACCCTCCTGCCTCCACCACCCACCAAGTGTTGGGATCATAGAGGTATGCGTCGCTATGCCAGGCTTCAGCAAACAGTTTTGGGAGTCATTGTTTTGAAATAACTTCCTATGGAACTTCTCCAGGAAAAAGACAAGTGACAGAGGAAACCTAGGATTCGATTTCAAGCTTCTTGAAACAAGTGGGGTTACCAACCATGGAAGCCAGACTTTGACCTGGTGATTCTAGAACCCAGAGCCCTCACTCAAACACCAAATGGGAGCTCCCCAGTTTTCGCGAATAAGTTTGGGGAATGTTTTCCACATGAACTATTTTTAGTAAGATGTATGCTGTCTCTGAAGTGATGGTGGTGAGGCCCACCCATGGACAACCAGGATTTCTGTCCCCAGGTCTTCCCTGATACTATCTTCTCTTGCTTTCAAGACTACACCCCGAATGTCATCAAATTACTAATAAATTACTTTCCTCTGAAAAAGTCATTTTCTGTGTATTTTGTGTAAGCCACTTCTGAGATTTGAAGCCTTAACCTAAAAGGGAAGGTTGTTTGATTTGTGGTTTTACAGGATGGGTAAAAAGCTGCCCAGCCCAGCTCCTGACGACTGTCTCAAGCCCAGCTTCAACTGTGTTGTTGCATGGCATGCTTAGCCTCCTCCAGCCGCCTCTGCCAAGTCCCGTGCAAGGGTAGTTAGTGCTGGGACCGAGATTCTGTTTATGGCTGCAGCCTGAGATTTCAGCCGCCAGAGGCAGGTGCTGGATTGAGGGCCAGCTGGGAGAGCCCAGCCTCTGAGTGGCAGAGAGCTCCGTGTGTTCAGGAAGCCTTCTGTGGACTTCGCCCCATGGGGGTAGGGATGGAGGGGGCGGAGCTTTTGTATCAGAGTACCTCAGCTGGCATTTGTCAGATGCTCTGTGACACCTGGAGCTCCTGAAGTCCGAGAAAGGGGATGGGGCAGGGCTGGGAGCAGGTGCTGTCTTTGGAGACTATGGTTCTTCTGGTTGAGCTGACATTTCCTGTTCCTCCTGCTAATCATTAAGTGACCCTCTAGGCCTCTGGAACTAGAAGTCTAAAGTCGAGACCACACCCCCAGTTGCTATGGCTTCACTGGGCTCTAAAGTTGCCCTCTTAGTGGAGCAGTGAAGACATCGGGTGGCAGATACTTGGCATGAGACCACAGTTAAGATTTTGTTCAGTGCTTCAGGTCAGGGGATACTTTCCCTTTTACTTTGTTTTGTTAGTTTGAGTCAGGGTCTCACTGTCTTTCTATATAGTCCAGGCCGTGGGACTCAGCAATCCTCCTGCCTCAGCCTCCCAAGTGCGTGTGCCCCATTTTGAATGGTATGTCCAAAATGGGGCACACGCACTTGGGAGGCTGAGGCAGGAGAGTTCTGCAACTGCTTACACCCATGCATTTAGAAACGTCAGTGATGTAATAGAATTCCACCAGTTAGGCAGTTGGACCCAAACTTCCATGCTCCTGCATGAGGTCCCACTGTGTGCCAGGCTTGGGGAACGAGGAGGCCTGGGGATTTGTGTCTGATGGAGAAGCCCTCAAGTGAGGGCACCTTGACAGCCAGTCCTGCTGTGACTCAGTGACATTGGGCCCAGCAGGGCACCCACCTTCCACCATCCTTTTTTCCAGGAGTGGGAAGTGTTTACCTGGATTTCCCTGGTGGTGGCTTCTCCGTCCCTAGTGATGATGGCTTCTCCATTCCTGTTCTGTAGCCCTGCATCTTTTTGGTTAAACTTTATTTTGAATAGCTAATAGCTGACCGGCACAAAACTACTAGCGAGCCAGAGGACGCTAACTGTGACAGAAAGCTGCCTGGACTGACTCAGAAAGGCAGCCGCTCTGCTGGGTTTGCCCTGATTTGGTTTACTTTGGGGTTATTTTTGAGACAGGGCCTCATCGTGTAGTTAAGGGCTGCCCTCAAACTCATGATCCTCCTGCCTCAGCCACCTAAATACTAAGATCACAGGCATGTACCACCATGCCCATCTTTAACTCTGTATTTTGAAACAGTTCTTAGAGACCACTTATTTCCTTTTATTTGTCAATGATTTTTGCTGAAAACTTAGAAAAATCTAGAAAAGTGTATTACTTCTGCCTCAGTGGCATGCACCACTAACTTCATATTCCTTTTAAAAATGTATATATTCATTTGTACGTGTATGGGTTTTTTGCCTACGTGTATGATTGCATGCTACAGGCATGCCCAATGTCGACATATGCCAGAAGAGAGCATCAGATTTCCTGGTACTTGAATTATGGACAGCTGTGAACCACCAGATGGGTGCCGGAAACTGAAGCTGGGTTCTTTGGAAGAGCACCGAGGGCTCTCACTACTGAGCCATTTCTCCCCAATTTCATATTTTTAAGGTAATTTCAAACTCCTTGGAAACACTGGCAGTGGTTATACGGAATCTTTTATATCATAGCATGGTATAGTTCTTATCTTAGTAGGCAAGTTCTTATCTTCTTACATCAGAGCGCTGCAGTGAATATGCTTGTTACTATCTCTGTAATTTGCATTTTGATAGTCTTTGGGTTATGACAGATTTTTCCAGAGCGAAATGACTAGATTTCAAAGTATGTGTTGTTCAATCAAAATTTCTCATTAATTTATCCTCCCAGGGTTTGGCGTGCAGGTCTTGTTGCATCTTCTCCGGCAAACCGACTATCTGTTTAATCTGGGTCCAGGCCTCCCTGGGGAGAAGGGGCTCCCTGCAGGGCTGTGTCACCACTGGTAGCTGGTGGCAGCAGGTGGCAGGGCACACGTGGGGGTGTGACACCCACCTGCTCCCGCTGGGGAGGAGGCAAAGGGGAGCAAGCCGAGGCAGGGATCCGGTAATTATAAAAAGCGGCCATCTGCTCAGAGGCTGGTTATTAACCTGCGTCGGGTGCTGACATGGCAGCGCCAGAGAGATTTTATTCACAGGCAGATGGTGTATTTTCAGCTAGACTTGATTTTGATTCTGTGTTTGGAGATGCAGCCAGAGTCTGGAAGGAAGCGCCCGGGGAGCGATGCAGGGCGAAGGCACTATGGCTAAGGATGCAGGACAACGTTCCTATGGTTAAAGATGCAGGGCAGAGGCACAATGGCTAAGGATGCAGGACCAAGACCCCGTGGCCAGGAGAGGAGGCAGGCAGGGAGGCTTAGAGCTGGCTGCTACTACTCAGCGGAGATTATGAGGCACCATCTAGCGGTGAGCCACACAACTTCTGCAGCTCAGGTCGCGGGGCGCCCTCTCGTGGTCACCGTTCAAAACCCAGGATGTCACCACAGTGGAGTCTGGTTTATGAGCTGGGGTGCAGAGGACTTGAGGACTTTCTGAGGTTTTAATAAGCCTAGAGCAGAACACTGTCTGAGTCTCCTGCAAGCGATTTTTTTCTGCATGCAAAACTGGATGTTTCGGCAGTTGAGCGAAGCAATTTTTTGAAGGCGTTCACACCAACCCTTCAGGAGGGCGTGGTCAAGAAAAAAAAAACTGGATGTTTCTCTATTCTAAGCAATCAATATATGGCGATTAAAAAAAAATGTCAGGATTCATCTTATCCTGGGTCTGTCTGGTGTCTCCAGTTTGCTGGGAGGAGATAAGTGGCTTCAATAGCCAGAAGAGACTTATGAGGCCGGCATGATAAATGGAGGCTCAGAAGGCTGGGCTCTGGCTTGGCTAGGTGAATCACGGGCTGGAGGTTAGCTCTGGCTACTCCCCCCCTTATTATTTTGGATTTAAATTTTTTTTACTATTTTCTAAGACTTCACTTTCTATGTGCACGAGTGTTGTCCTCACACGTGTGTCTGTGCCTTGTTCATTCTGGAACTGGAGTTTTGGGTGTTACTTTATGTGTGTCCTGGTAATTGAACTGAGGTCCTCTACAAAAACAAGTGCTTTTAACTGCTGAGCCATCTCTCCAGCCCCCTTAATTTTTACTTAAAAAGAGATAAAAGATTTAGTTTTGTTGGATGTGGTGGCACATGCCTTGAATCTCACTCAGCACTCTGGAAGCAGAGGCAGGCAGATCTCTGAATGAGGCCTGCTTAGTTTACATAGCAAGTTCAGGCAAACCAGGGATATATGATACAACGCTGTTTGAGCTGCCATTGGCATGCTGGGAATTGAACCTGGGTCTTCTGGAAGAGCAGCCAGTGCACTTTAACCTCAGCACTATTTCTCCAGACCTGTGATTGACGGAGACAGGGTCTCATATAACCCTGTGCTGTGTGTGGGACAACGGTCTTATAGCCTGTAAAGTTTTGTAAGTTGTACTGGTTTAATAAAATGCTGGTTGGCCAGTAGCCAGGCAGGAAGTATAGGTGGGATGATGAGAATAGGAGAATTCTGGGAAGAAAAAAGACTCAGTCTGCACAGAGGAAGCAAGATGAGAATGCTTCGCTGATAAAAGGTACCAAGCCATGTGACTAACATAGACAAGAATTATGGGCTAATTTAAAATGTAAGAATTAGTTAATAAGAAGCCTGAGATAGCCGGGCAGTGGTGGTGCACACCCTTAATCCCAGCACTTGGGACACAGAGGCAGGAGCATCTCTGTGAGTTCAAGGCCAGCCTGGTCTACCAAAGCTAGTTCCAGGACAGGCACCAAAGCTACACAGAGAAACCCTGTCTCGAAAACAAAACAAAAAACAAAAACAAAAGTCTGAGCTAATAGGTCAACCAGTTTATAATTAATGTAGGCCTCTGTGTGTTTCTTTGGACAGAATGGCTGTGGGACCAGGCGGGACAGAAACCTCTGTCAACAACCATGGTTGGCTTGGAACTTACTATACAATTCAAGATGGCCTTGAACTCACAGAAATCCTCCTGCTTCTGCCTCCTATATTCTGGGATTAACAGTGTGGACCACCATACCCAGCATAACTGCATTTTTTTTTAAAAAGTAAGAATAGTGAGCCACTGAGATGGCTCAGTGC